TTAAGAGGATAATATTTATTTTATTATTTCATGATAGCTGAACCACTAGCCTATGATTCTACTGTAAAGTTAACTCTGACTCATAATATATCTACAAATAAAATGATTGATATCAGATTTGACCTTATGTAAACTATTGGCAGCATTAAAGAATCAATAGAAAAAAGGTATGGCAGTGATCCTAAATTTATGTAATTGCAATTAAAGGATAAATAAGTATTAAATTAGAAATATTATAGGGAAACTTTATTACATATATGAATGATGATGTAAAATTTTTAGGGACTTATGGAGCAAAAGATGGATATGAAGTCCATATTATAGATAATAATCCTAATAGTGTTTTAAATGGATTAGAAGATGTGAATAAAGTTTAAAAGTATACAATAAGTGATGAGGATTATGATAAATTACCTGTTAATATGAGAAAGTTCAAATAATAGGTGTTATAATAATAAGCTGCTGGAGGAAATTTAGGATAAAATAAACCTGAAATTAATGATAATTTCTAAGAGGCAGAAGCATTGTAAATTGCTATTGGCTCTCGTTGTTAAATACTATAAGGAGAAAGAAGAGGAACTGTTCGATATGGTAAAAATTAAATTAAATTTTAAGTTGGATAAGTTCCTTAGATGGGATTAGGCTATTTTATTGGAATAGAGTTAGATGAACCTACAGGAACAAATAATGGAAACATTTAGGGCTTTCAATATTTCTAATGTCCTCAAAAATTTGGAATATTTGTGAGACCAAATGAATTAATTGTTGGTGATTATCCAGTGCTTGATCTAGATGAAATCTGAACCATTATAATTTTATAAAATATTGAGTTATGTAGATCTTAAATAAATTCTTAAGCAATTTCATTAAAATTTCATTTATTTATTTATTTTAATATGAATATGAGAATTTAATGATCAAGATATTCAATTAGATACTTTAAATAAAATTTTAGATTATTTTTTATCTTTACTTTTTTGAATTATCTTAATATAATCATATATAATAATATAATTAAATATAATTAATTTTTTAAATAATAATTAATATTAATAAAATAAAGTTCTAAATCAATTTATTTTTGCAGTGTTATCTGGAGCATCATTCTTTCTATCACTTGGAGTTTCTGCAAGTTGTTATTTAGATATATCTGGTAATTATTCCTTTTATTATTATTCTTTTGATTATTATTCTTGTTAAGGTTTTATTTAATCATATTTTTTTCTTTCATCTACCCATTTCACAAAATAATTAGCTGACAATTATCCAATAACAAGAGTTCCCATAAATAATATATTTATATGGACTGTAAATTAAGGGAAGAGTGCAAATGCAGGACCAGGACAAAATCCACCTACTCCCCATCCAAATCCAAATATTGTAGCTCCACATACTAGTTTCCAATCTATAACATTATTAGTTGGGATTTCATATTTTGTATTTAAATATGGTTTCTCTTTTGCTCTAAAAGCAAAGAAATTAATAACCACTGGAGTTACCATCACAAAAATGAGAGTAGCTAAAATATACATATTAATATTACGATCCCATCTTTCATTTATTGCTAAAAATCCAATAATCTTGCTTCTTTTCACCATACCAGATATTGCTAAACCTAATCCAAAAATAAATCCAACTAAGGTTCCAACGACCAAGTCAATCAATAAATCCTTATTCTTAACATATTAAAATCCAGCCATAATGAGTATGATTACAAATCCTAAAATCAAAGTTGTTATGGCACAAGCTTCATGATCATAATCTATTGGATCTGGATGCTCCAAAGGAACTTGAATTTAGTTTAATATTATTACTAAAGTTTTCTTTAATTGAGGCTGTCAATAATCCCATTCCCATAAAACAACTAACTGCAACAATTGATCTTGGTGCCAATCTAGGTAATCCACATACACCATGTCCACTTGTACATCCATTACCCATTTTAGTACCGAATCCCACACAAAATCCAGCTATGATTGCTCCTCCCCATCCTATTTATGTCAAAATTGATAAGTCATCATAGGCAGGAGTTCCTCCATCAATAATTGCTTTTTCTGTTCTATTAAAATATTATTTATTCATACCCATATGCTAAGTAAAATATACTTGAAGCCATCATAACTCCCATCATTAAGGAAACCTTCCAAAAAAACGATGGAAGATCATATGTGACAATGCTGTATAATATTCCACTGAATCCAGTTACTCTTCCTTTTACTACATAGTGGAGTGATGTAGCTATGCCTATTAGAGCTCCACCAATGACTGCCAACCCAATATCTGTTTCATTCCAGAAAACCATTAATATTTTAGAGATTAATAAAAATTGTTCAAATCTTCTTTAATTAACTTATGTATTTATACTAAAATTTTAATTAAAAATTTTATACTCTGATTTAATATGTGATTATTTATAAAAATTGTCATAATATTAAATAATAACAATTGTCTTTATAATTCATAAATGATTGTCAATCTCATTATAATAGAAAAAAATTTATTCATTCTTTAATAGAAAATCTTTTAGATTTATTATTAAATTCATTCAAATCATTGATTAAGTATGTTAAATCATCTGATAATTGTTTGCTCTAATGACTATCTCTTGAATTTAAGTTACCAGACCTAATTTATAATTCTATGTTCTATTTTCTGTTTTACTATGAATAATTTTCATTAATATATTAGTGTGTTTCAATTCTTTATTAATTTTTTTAATTATTTTTTTTATTTATCATTCCATATTATTCCCATTTTTTTGGAGATTCCAAGTTATTTTGATGAAATTTTGAATGACTTTTATTCATCTTAAGAATAGGAATGTCTTAATTTATTTTTTCTTTATTGATTGGACTAAAAAAATTTTAAGAAGAATTAGACTTATTATGAGTAGACCTTTTAAGTCTACTTATGTCTAATTATATAATATCAGCTTCCTACATTTTCTTTTTTTATGCTTAACCTATTTATTATTATTTTTGTTTTATTTCTTATAATTACTTTTCTTTTTATTAATACCATTATTTTTCAATACATTGTTATTTTTATTATTCTTCAGAAGACTGATGTTAAATAACTATAAGCTTTTCTTATTATTATAAATTATTCAAAAGGGTCATCAATATTTTTTATTATTGTTTTAACGATTCTAATTCTTTTTCAGTTGACAATTATGTTTTTCGAGGTATTTCACTTGAATATTTCCTTGCTGAATCACTCATTGTATAATTTCTATTTGATTAACTAAGTTTTAATTATGAATCATATTTTCTAAGAGTTGATTTAACATCTTTTTGAATATTCTTAATAAGAGTTGAAGAATGTCGAGCTACTTGTTGAGCATGAAACAAATTTTGATTTAGTTTGATATTTTGAATATCAGGTTTGATTGTATTCAATACTTTTTGTGCATAATCAACTTCATGTATTCTTTTCTTATTGAATTATTTGTTATTCATAATTTGTAAATGTTTATATAAACTAAAACTATAAAATCATATAATAAATGAATAACTCATTAAAAAATTTGAATTTCTTTATTTATAAAGGGTTATTTGATATCATGAACATAACAGTGTATTTTTATATGTTCAAGATCTAATTCATTATATATTAATACACACATTATAAATAGTATAAATTTATATATTATTTATTTTGTTTCAAATTGAAATAAGATGTATAGATATTTGAATTGATTATTTTAGTGGACTTCTTGAAAAATAACAGAAATTAAATTTTGATTTTTGAGATAATCATTCATCATAATAATAAAGAAATGAATTCAAATTAGCCTACTTTATTTGATATAATTCAATTAATTAGTTTAACTGATATACTGATATTTGTTTATGAATAGTATTCAATATAATAATAATTAATAAATATATTAATAATAATATAAATGTTGAAATTTGATTTATATAGAAAGTTGCCATAGGATTTAATTGAACCTTCAAAATCAGGTGCATTGATATCATTTACATCTTTGATTTTGATGTTTATATTATTTATTACAGAATTTTAGGTAATTCAAAGTCATAAGGAAAGGACTATCTAACTTAATAAGTATAAACTGAGATGTACATTGATTAAAATAAAGATGACACACTTTTAGTTAATATGGATATCTCATTTCCTAACATGCCATGTGATTTTATAAGTATTGATTAATAAGATGTAATTGGCACTCATCTACAAAATGTTTAAGGTGAGTTATATAAAAAGAGAATATTAAATGGAAAAGTCATTGATTAATATGTATAATTTAATAATAATAATTTAGTTATCAACTAATGAGTCATTGAATTAATAGAGAGCCTAGTAAGAATTTGAATAAAAAGAAGGTTGTGATCTATCTGGATATATCATAATTAGTAGAGTTCCTGGAAATTTTCATATATCTGTTCATCCTTATGGAGGATAAGTTAATATTTTATTGCCATTAGTGGAATTATAAGCATACGACTTATCACATAAAATTAAACATTTATCTTTTGGAAATTAAAATGACTTATAAGTAATAAGAGAGAAATTCAAATAAGGATTGCTCAATCCTTTAGATGGGATAAGTAGAATTAAGGCATAAGAACTCTAAAATGTTGGAGTGACTCATCAATATTATATTTCTATTGTACCTACTCTCTATGTTGATATCGATAATAAAGAATATTTTGTAAATCAATTCACAGCAAATACAAATGAAGCTTAGACTACATCAATGCCTGCTATTTATTTTAGATATGATATATCTCCTGTGACTGTTCAATTTACAAAATATTATGAGACCTTTAATCATTTCATAGTTCAACTTTGTGCTATTTTAGGAGGAGTATTTACAATAGCTGGAATTATAGATTCTATATTTTAGGCATGTAATATATGGGTTTAATATTTAAGTATAGAAAACAAAAGTAGTATTGGATTAATGAGAATGATAGATAAAAATAAATTATATATTGACATACATCTATGTGATTATTTTAATAATAATTTATTATATGTCATTAAAGGACTTTCAAATATTGCAAGAATTAGGTATAATTAATATGCGAACTAGGTGAGGGAGCCTATTCTAGAGTATTTAAAATAAAAAGAATTGCAGATTAATAAGAATACGCCCTTAAGAAGGTTAATTTGCAATCTCTTTCTGATAAAGAGAAACAAAATGCCCTTAATGAAGTAAGAATTTTGGCAAGTGTAAGACATGCTAATGTTATTCAATATAAAGAAGCATTTTTGGAAGAATAATCTTAAACATTATGGTAACTATTTATATGCAATTATTTTAAGTATTGTAATGGAATATGCAGATGATGGAGATCTCTATTAAAAAATAGTAGAATGTTAAAAGAAGGGAGTTCTTATGTCTGAAAATGATATTTGGAATATATTCATATAAGTATTACTTAATCCATATTAACATTAAAGATAGTAAAAGGTTTAAAAGCATTACATGATATGAAAATATATCATAGAGATCTTAAATCAGCAAATGTCTTTATGAATATAGATGGAACTGTTAAATTGGGAGATATGAATGTCTCCAAAGTAGCTCGAAAAATATTACTCTACACATAAACTGGAACACCTTATTATGCATCACCAGAAGTTTGGAAAGATTAACCTTATGATTCTAAATCAGATATTTGGTCATTAGGATGTGTTTTATATGAAATGACAACATTAAAGCCACCATTTCGAGCTGAAGATATGAGCGGTTTGTACAAAAAAGTAGTCAAGGGTTATTACCCAAAAATACCTACAATATACAGCTAAGATTTAAGCAATGTAATTAGGGCTTTACTATAAGTCTAACCACATTTGAGACCCAGTTGTGATAAAATATTATAATTGTCTTCTATAGTCAATAGATTAGATGATAAAGTGTTGATTGAAGAAGAAGGAGCTAAATTTTTATTATAAACAATTAGAGTTCCAAGAAATATGCACTATTTAACAGATAGATTGCCTAAACCTAATTATAATCCAATTAGAATGACTAGAATTGATAAATAGTAGTTTATCTAGACTTTGGCTATTTAGAAATTGAATTAAGAGAATTTGGAGGAGAATCATTCAATGCATGTTGATTTTTTACCTCGTCTTAATAAAAGGAATGAAGAGAGTCTTGATAATTCGGTTGTTTCAAGAAATAATAAAAAAGTTGATGACAATTTAATAGATAACAATAAGAATAATTAAATTAATTAAATATATGGTGTTGGTATACAACCTAGAAAAAAAGATTAAAGAATTTCGAATAAATCTTAAAAACATGAACCTCTAAAATAAAACAAAAAAAATGAATTAGAAGGAGAACTTAAACCTTTAATAATAAAATCGTAAATAATATTATTTTATTTTAGTTATAGTCCTAAAAATATACATGAAGATAGACAACCATTATTACCACTTTTACCTAGTATTAAAAAAGAAGTTGAAAGATAAAATGAAGATGAATAATTAAAAAGAATTAAATAAACTGAAGAATTAATTTAATAATTAAAAGATAGATAAAAATAAAAACATAAGAAAATCTAGAAATTATGAATAACTGATTGATAATAGAATATTTTAATATTTCAAACTTTTTATACATCTGTAACTTCTAAGATATCTCCTACTTTTTGATTTAATTTGAAAGTGTATTTTATATCTGTTCTACATAAAAAACATTATTTAGTAGTTTTCATTATATTTTCAGAGCAAATAGTACAAATACCACCATGATTACATGGATGTAATATAATATCTGGTTCATTTTCAAAACAAATTAAACAAATATCACAAGAATCTTAATCTTTTGGTATAGATTTCATTTATTTCATCATAGTTAAACATGGAGATTATCTAAAATTAAGTGAATCAGGTCTTAAGACATCACTACAAATTGGAATTGAACTAATATTTCTATTATTTATTTCATTAATTGTTTTTCTTGTTATTAATTTATAAAATGAAGCAGAAACTCTAATAAATAAAATTGGAATTTAGAGTTTAGACCATTTATTTTTTGATGATTCTAATTAAGGAGATTTTGGAGTTCTAATTTATGTTTAAGTTTATCTATGTTCCAATTATAAAACAATTCTATTTTAATATATATAAATACATTAATTATTTCCTCACTTTATTAGTAAAGAATAGAAATGAGATCATATAAAGAATTATTGAAATTACAATAGCAATACCAGCTATTTTAATATTTATTTATATTGTATCTTTTTCATAAAATTAACAGATCTCTTTTAAAAGAAAAAATGGTATTATTGTTAATCCAACAATAAAATATATAAGCCATATTATGATAGATCCTTGATTTAATAATATTTTACCATCAATTTAAGGTATGTCTTTGATGAAACAATTTTCCACTAAAGTAATAAGTAATAAGACAATTAAAAAGGTATTCACTCCCAAAGCTGTCCATGTAATGATAAAAGTTTGATAATAAGAGTATACAAAGAAGTTATTCCATTTCAAAGATAATAATAATAATTATAAGATATATAGAATTCCATAGGAATGAGCAATCTATTTTAAAATTTAATTATACTATAAGATGTTTCCTTTTAGATTGGTCTTATTGTAATACTTAATGTAGAAATAATCCAATAATTACAATTATTTACATTGCTGGAATGTAATATAAATTAATCTCCTTAACTTCAAAATGTATAACTATTGTGATCTTAAAAAATTATGAAATTTACTTTAAATGAAATACTCAATACTTTTTCTAAAAAATGTATACAAGAAATGACTTTGTTTATGTTTTTATCTAATAATACTACAATAAAAGTGATCAAATCCATAAACCATGCAAATATAATTATGTATTTAGAATCAAATAACCATATGAGCTTTAAACTAAATATAAGCATGTATAATTAGCACACAAAATTGAACAAACATATTCGATTTACCTCATTAGAAAACTAATATAAAATTTATGGTACTTAACTTCTAAGTCAACTTATTAGGATCGAATTTACTCTTAGGATTGATTCATAAATCTGATAGTTATTAATATAATTTAACTATTTCATTCAGATGCCATAAATAGAACATTGTTATATTTATAAAATAAAGATTTTTATTCACTTACAAATTATAAAGACAAAAAAATTCATTATAAAAAAGCACTCTATCTAAGTTTTTATATTGTTGCTCTTTATAATGGATCTTATGAGAAACACATTAAAAGAAAGTACTTTAATTCTTCAGAAACATTGTCTGGAATTTTAGGTGATTCTTGATTAAATGCAATTGCTAGAAGTGTTGATGCAACATTATCAAAATCAAGTTATTCAAACCATGGATGCTTACCAGTTAACATTTCTAAAATCAAGCATCCAAATGACCATATATCAGCTGGAGTATCAATTTCTTCTTATCTAACCACTTCTGGAGCCATCCAAGGAACACTCCCTTATAGTATACTCTGACATAAATTTTGTTTAATATGTCTACTACAACCAAAATCAGAGATTTTAATATCACCACATGAGTCTAATAAAATGTTGCTTGATTTTAAATCTAAATGTAATATCCCTTTATTATGTAAGTACTCTAATCCATTAAGAATTTGATGAGTATACGTTTTTATAGTTGACTCTGTCATTGGACCAAATTCATTTAATAATTGAGAAATTGAACCTATTATAAATTAATTTAATCATACCCATTGGCATATATTCTTAATATATTAATAAACTATCTTTCGTTGAAACATGAGATATATATTTAATTATGTTTTTGTGTTATAGAATTTAAAGAAATTACAGTTCAATCTAATTAAATTTGTATATCTTACATCTACTTTTTACTGATTCTTGAATTTGAACAGTACTTTTTTACAAGCCACAACTTCACCTGTGTCCATATTCATAGCCTGATATACTTGAGCATTTGAACCAGAACCAATCAATTTACCTAATTTGTATTGACAATCCTTCTTAGCACAATCTTTAATTTGAATGAATCTATTTATTGGCGCAAGAGTCACATGATGTTTGATTTTTGTAGGAACTTTCAGAATTCTATGCTTTCCATTACTTTATTTATTATTTTAACTATTAATACCTTTAACTAGCTGCTCTTATTGTATTATTGACAGACCTCATTATTTTCACTATTCTAACTAAAGAATTATCTAAGAAATAAATTATATATATATATTTATTTAATCATATAAATATCTCAATTCTCATATCTTTAATTACAATTAATAAAAATGTCTATCTCAGATACCCAATTTACTCTAACATTTTACATATTATATTATAATATATAATAATCAACTAAACTTATTAACCTAAATAATTAACTTCATTTCAATTAATTCAAAAGGTCAAATTAAAATTATGACAAAAAAACCTTTTAGATTCTTCATTTTATCATATTAATTCAATTAAGTATATCAATATATTAGTATATTTAACCAATTAATAATAATCAAGAATAAATTATCTAATTTATTAAAGGAATATCAATATAATTAAATATCGATAAAATATCTATGTATGCTAAATCTAGCAATAAGAAATCAAAGAAATTAAAATTGAAAATAATAACTAAAATGATATTCAGATTTCTTAACCAAAAAGTTTGTTTAAATTAAAATGAATACAAACAGATTAAATCAATCATCATTATTGATCCTTTGTATTAAATTAAACATTCTGTATCTATTAATGTTAAAGGTTGTCAATAATAGGTCAAAGTAATTATGTTATAAATTAAAAACGAATCTCTTTAATAAATAGATACTCAAGCTAGATTTCACAAACTTAATGATTATATAATTAGTAATTATTTTAACACTAAGAAAGTGTACATTAAACAAAGAGACGTTAAAGATCCTTTAAATTAATTTATAAATTTCTCTTTATCCTACTGATCTAATTAGAAGGGATTATAGGAATAAATTTTCATAAAAAATATCATAATTTATCCCATATTTGAACATATATATATTGTGTATCTGTTTATTCCTGTTTGGATACTATATTTTTTTTGTTTAATTGATCATATTCGAAAGAGAATGATATAAAAGGAGGAAGGTGGATGATATTATTTCTTAATTTATGATTTGATTGTATAATTATAATTATTAGAATATCAATTATTTTTTTAGTATATAATTATAGATATTTTTTATTTGTGATATTAAATGTAAATTTATGATAATTTAATATTAATATTTTTAAAAGAATAATATATACTTTTTAATATTTTTCCAATTATAATATTTATCCTACCTCTTGATTATGATAAATATGGTTACTGCATATTAAGTATGAATTCAATATTTTATAGATGAGTTATAAATAAATAGCATTAATAGATATTTATATAATATTTTATAGATTAAAGATAAGATGATTAATAAATTGATAATAAAACAGATTAATGGATATACAAAAACTGTTGGCTTATTTAATTAAGTTTTCTTAAATATTTATAAACATCACTTTTTATGTAATTTGTTTGCTTTTTTTTTATTTTATTCCATTTTTAATTTTCTTTATTCTCTTTTAGCTTTTAATTATGATGGAATTCTAAAGAATTAATCTTATTTCTTTTATATTCCTTTCTTAAATTATTTCATTTTTGCGACTAAAGCGAAATCATCATCACCTACTTTAGATTTAATTTTTCTGATTTTCTTTCTGATTACTCTTCCACTTGTTCTCATTTCATTCTTTAATTCCAAGTCCTAATTTTAATAATAAATATTACTAAATTAACTTCAACTTATGATATTTGAACATTATCTATTTTATTATGTTTAAGTTTTTTCTTATCTAATTATTGTTTTCTAAGCTTCAATTATTTGAATCTATTTTCCATAATATGAATAGGTTATTTCTATAATATTGTCAAAATATTTTCTTCAAAAATTAAAGTCTTGGCTATGATAGCTTTATCATATGCTTCTTTATTTTAAAAAGTCACATAACCAACTCCTTTAGATTCACCATCATCATCTTTCAATATAGTGATATAAGCAATATCGCCAAATATTGAAAAGGCTTATTATAATTATATATTAGTTGTATTAGGAATGTTAAGAACACTAATAGTATAAACTTCTTATTCAACTTCATTAATTAATGTAGCATGAAATTTTTATGTGTTTAATTGCTGTTAAGCCTCTTAGGCTTCCTAAAAATATAGAAATATTGAATACTTATTATGTTGCATATAATATGTATATGCCATTTGAATTTTATATTGATTGAAGGGATTTTATATTTTTAGGTACATCTGTTGCATTATCTATTTTAATAGTTCTAGAGTTGATGGATTTAATCTAAGCCATTGATAATGTATCAGTAATAAAGGGATTCATAAATTAATTTCTAATTCTAATTAATTATTCAGAAATTAAAATTATAACAATGTGATGAGAAAAATAAATAGAAGTAAAAATAATATATAATCAAACCTTATAACTTCTATTTTAACTCTTGGCATTTCTTCCAACACCTAATTAATCTAATAAATGATTATCCATAGTATAATTAAGTATTTTACATTCCTACGAACTTTCAAGCTTCTTGAATTTTGTTACATGTTCTCTAACTTTAGATCTTTTATTTAATAATCAGAAGCTTACCTTGATTTTGGAATAATTTAAAACTTTTACAAACTTCCTTCAAAATCATCTGATTCTGTTTTAATTCTCATATTTTCACCATTTCTTTTTCCATTCAAAAATATATTATGTGTATTATTAAAAGAGTAACTATTAATTTGTGTAGTTCTTTTATTAAAAGCATTACTATAATTATATTCATTTTATATACTTATTAGTAGAATTATTGATTTTGCGTTATTAAGCAATTTTTAAGATTTGTAATATCTTTTTAGATTATTTCTTTTTATCAGATGATAATGTTGGAGTAGCTCTAAAATATTAATTTTTTTATGTTTTATGAGTTACACTATCTCTATTTTGATTAACATTCTAATTCATTGTATTCATATTAATAATATAATTATCTATGAGTCTTCCTATAGATGTACTTGATTAATTTTAACAATGAGATTTCTATTAGCTATTTATATATAAAAATAAGAACTTTGTCTATTTTGGATTTGTTGTATTGAATTTTTATATAGTATTTTATTAGGAAAAATCATCTTCAATGGATTCAGCTAATCTTAATAACTTTTCATTTAAAGCCTTCATAAAATAAGGAGATGTGGCATCAGTCAAACGCTCTATATTGTTGCAATTAAGATTATAAACTGTAGTATCTTTAAGAGATTAAAGAGAATTATCAGATGATGATTCATAATCTTCTTTAGGGAATATAAATGTATGATTAATTTGACAATTCTTATATCTACCAAATGATTTTGTAAGTACTTAAATTCAATCTCTTGTTTAAAATCCTCAGGTTCTTATTCTTCATCAGGTTAAGTTTTAATTATTTATTTCTCTGGAACTTATGGTTTGTTGATCTTTTATAAAATGTGATATTTCATTAGATCTTTATCAATTTTGTATTAGTTATTTAATTGAGGGCTCTTTGATTTTGTTATTCTGTTGGACATTATTATTATATAAGTAAATAAATTAATAATTAAACTAAATAAATATTTGAGATAAACAAAAGTATATATATTTCTTATTTTATTAAACATAAATTATGTACATAAGATAGATTAATTTATTCAATAACTACATATTAATTTTAATAAATTAAATCTTATTGATTAATTATTGACATTATTGAATATATACTTATCATATGTTAAATTATCTATTTAAATTCATCTTACTCAATCAAACTTTACCTTTTATAACTCTAATATTTATGTATGAATTTATTATAAATAATTTGAAACACATAAAATCAATCTTAAATTTCAAGAATTTATCTTTGGTTTTTTTTTCATTTTCTTTTATATATTAGTTTTCTTTATTTACTGTAGCTATTGAATTGCAAAGGTTATAAGTATCATCATCTATGTTTAACCTGAACACTTGCTGTTTATTCTGTAACTTTTTATTTTAAATAATTCAAAATATTCTCCAATTATTTTATCATTATATTTCTTAACCTTTACTAATTTACAAATTTAGTAATATTATTTTTTAAGCAAATATAAATTTATTTTCTTAACCTTCAAGTTGACATTAAGTAAATAATTAAAATATAGTTAAATTAGTTTAAGTCAATTACTTTATCATCATCCTCTTTAATCTCTATATGTTTTCATTTTATTTCTATATAATAATAATTTATCATCAAAGAGAATTTTACATAACTTAAAATAAATTGTTAGAAATATCTAAAAATAATGATTCAATTTTATTTAAAATATAACAAAAAACCTTCATTTCTCAGAACAATACTTAATGAAGATATTTATTTTAATATATTATTAATTCTAATTATATATTATCTTCACTATTTATTAAAGTCTTTTTTAAGTTAAAATTATTGGTTTTTCTAAAATTATTAAAGATTTCTTTTATGATCTTATCTTAATTAATTTAATTGAATCAATAATCATCTTAATATTCATAAGATAAATCTAATTGATTCAATTAGATTAAATTATTTTCTATTGTAATTTTTAAGTTCTTGTAAAGTCAGTTTAGAAATTCTAAAATTATCTGTATTTATAATTTATAGTTTACTCGTCAATTTCTTCATAGATTTGATATAATTTATATTTTTGAGTAAAATTAATGAATTGCAATATGTGTGGATAGAGTACACAATAGCTCATTTTAAAAAAACTACAATTAAAGTATTTTGAAGCTTTCAACTTCTACTTTGCAAAGCCAATAAATGAAATTCTATCATAAATTGCTAATACTCCTCATGTAATCTATTATAAGGATTATGTGATATTAGATGAATAATAAGAATACATGAAAAGGTAGTAGAACTTCCTTAACATGTAGATATTATTAGAAAGACGAAGTCAAACCAAGACTAGACATTTTGACTGACTTTTACGTGACAAATTATAAAGATGTTCACCCTTATTTACTAGTTGTTGAAAGTCATACTTTAATGAGTAAAAGAAATAAGAAAATTGATAAGCTTTATTATTAGAGAATGTAAGAGAGTGTAAATTCGAATAAATCTTAGAATCCTGTTATTGTTAATAATGTACTCAATTCAAAACTATCATCAAAATCTCAAATCAGTTATGAAACTATAGAACACGATATTTATTCTTCTGAAGATTAACCATAGAAATAAAATCGTATTGATTTTAAAGGAATAAGTCTACTCAATAATTATGAAGAAAATAACTTATTTCTTGAAATGTTAGATAAATAATACTAAATTATAAATAAAATGACGAACAAAAATAAATTACTGCCTCCAAATTTTTACATTAGATCTCCTCCCTAAAGTTAATAAAACATATAAACCAATCTCATTAAAGATCTACATGCAATGAAAAGTGTCAAAAGAAGGACCAATAATATGGATCTTAGAGAGAAAAAAGGTATATGAATTAATATATTCTATATAGCTATTTTTGCAAATTCTAAGAGTGAATCAAAACATTCTTAATCAAGTTTCAAGATGTCTAAGATTAAGGATTCAGTTGATTAATAAGTTGATTAATTTTGTGATTATGTTTCTGGATAAATTGATCCATCTGATTTAGAAGGTAAGAATAAGATGTCTCGAATATAGAATGATAATTTTACTGTTTAAAAGATGCTTAAGGAATATTAGGGTAATCAGAAAAGATAATTAAAATCAACAATTTCATAAGATTTATTAGTTGCAAGTACATCTACTCTTATATAGGGATTTTAAGGTTCTTAAAAAAGTATTAAATAAGATCAAAATAACAATAATGGTAGTATATAAAATATATCATAAAGACAAGAATAATTAAAAAAAGTATATTAACCAATTTAATAAAAGAAAATAAATTAAAATTAATTAGATAGAATAACAAAAGGTGGATGTTTAACAGATAGAAATATGAAATAATTACCTATATCTGAAGATTTGTTTAGTAAATTACATGATATCAATATTAAAAGTTCATAAAATGCAGAATAATAGAAAAAACCAGAATTTAATTATATGATACCATCATAATATAATGCTATGTCAACTTTTAAAATAGGCAATAATAATAATAATAAAGCCAAATCTTAATACACTAAGAAAACTACAGGATTAGATTTAGCTACTAAATCATAACATTAATAATAGGGAAATCATAGTTAATCTAAGGTTTTAAATATAAACACAAATAAACCTGATGATATTGTTAAAAAATACATTTAATTGGCAACATAATCTATATAAAATCATAAAAAATTTGATTTTAAATTGAATCTTTAAAACTTAAATAATAATGAACCTCATTTAGATGAAGAACTCTGTATTTATAATACATTATATATTAAATAGAAAATAAACGTCTGAATTTTCTTACTGAAAGACATAGCCAATAATAATAATAAGAGAAAGATTAATTTATTACTCATAGAAAAATTGTGATTAAATGAATATTAAAAAATATCATATTTATTTTATCAATAAAAATTATACTTAATATATAAATTGTTCTCTTTTTTAATGTATAAATTATCATACTTTGTATTAATTAATAATAATTTAAATTATGAAGCCAAATATTACATTTTTTTATAACATTATATATATATATATATAAATTATTCATTTATTAAGATGGAATTTAATGCTTAAAAAAGTGTGTTTGATTTAGTCAGACTATCTTTTCCATAATAAACTGAAGAAAGTACATTACTAAATTACAAGACATATTTATATAGAATTTTGAATCTAAAAACTAAATATTAAGAAATGGATGATATGATAATAGAAAAGGAAATTGATGATATTGATAATGTATATGTAATATACTATTAAAATAGAAAGTACTTTAAACTAGATTAAGAGAATGCATATAGAAATTAAAAAAATCAACAATTCAAAAAAATTAAGAAATAATTCACTTTGTAATTAGAGTAAGTTAATTGGGAAAATAAGAGATATTAAATAATAGTTAAATAAAACCAATTTTTGAAAATTCAAATCATTTAAAATAGTCAATTGATATTGAAAATCAATAGACAACTAATCAAACAATTAATAAGATAGAAAATAGTTTAATAAAAAGTATGATAGTAGAAAGATAACAAGTAAGAAATTATATAAATTTAGAATAGTATTGCTTAAGAAGTTAATGACAGAGATTTAATGAAAGATTTATTATTTTGTCTTTAAGGAATAGAGGGTTAATATATTTAATATGATGCATCTACAGATTCATTTTGTTTAAGAAAAGATCTTAATGTTTCAATATCAGTACGATAAATAGTAAATTTGATTTCTGAATGTGGATGGTTATTCAAAAAGATCTCATCTTTTTGTTAAATATAATAATCAAATTTAATAGTATAGGCACTTTAAAATGTAATCAAATTAGAATTATCTGAATATTATAAATTGATAGCAAATCTTGAAGGATTAATCCTATCTTCATAATGTAAAGTATTATTATTATTTAGTGATAACATTTAAAAGAATTCATTTCCATCTCTAATCTTCATATGATTATATGTTGTTTATAAATCAATTACTTTCAATAATATAAACAAATACTCCCCTTGGAACTACATCTTGTTTAATAATAAATGTTTTAGAGTAATTTTCAAAGCATGGATGTACTTAAACAGCAGAATTATTTGTACGTTTATAATAAGCAAGTTGTTAACCATTAATGAAGTATATAAATGAATGGATGTTTGAAGGTAATCTCTTAGATATAGCCAATGAATTCTTTATAGAAAGAGATGATTAAAAAGTATTAAATAAGGATTAAGGAGAATTGTGGAGAAAATAATATAAAATTAATTATGATAAAGTTCCAGTTGTTATATCATATGATGAAGCATATAAAATATATGATACAGGCAGAGCTATAAATTGGTTGAGAAAATAATGTGATAATAAGAATTGGTATTTAGATATATAGCCATTAACTATTAATATGCTTTAAACAAAGGAATTATCTTAATTAATTAATTAAGCAAATAAAAATACTAATACACAATTAGTCAATTTATTATTTGATAAATTTAAATTAATGGATCATTTTAAGATGATTAAATAATATTTCTTATTAGGTAATGGTAATTTCTCTCAATTATTGATTGAAACACTTTATACAGAATTATCAAAAAATGCACATTTAGTATATAAACATACTTTAACTGGTTTGGTTGAATCTACACTTAGATTGAGTAATGCAAATTAGATTATCTAATAGAGATTGTCAGTTAAATTATTGGAAGCTTAAAAAAATGATATAGGTTGGGATATCTTTTGTTTAGATTATGAATTTGAAGAACCTTTAAAAACAATTTTTAATCATAGAACTATGTTAAATTATTATAAAATTTTCAATTATTTATGGCGTATTAAAAGAGTTGAACATACACTTATTTAATCATGGATGTAATAAATTAAAAATAAATATCACTTAAATGCAAAGTCAAATGTAAATAAGGCTCTTAATTTAAGTTTATAAATCATGAATTCAATGATTCATTTTATTAAAAATTTTTTTAGTTATTTGATGTTAGATGCAATTGAAACTCCATGGAAAAAATTTATGGATTAAATTAATTAAATAGAAAATTTAGATCATTTGATAAAATTACATGAATAATTATTAAATGAAATAATTGATAAAACATTCTTACATCAAAAATAAGAAGAAATTCAGATAATTTTACTTAAATTATTTGAAATTTCATTTAGATATAAATAAAATTTAGAAAATCTATTTTTATATGTAAGAGAATTAGTAGCATAAGATAGAAGTGATAAGTTTGAATAATCATTAGATTCAATAATATCACATAAAACTACACCAACATATAATATTAATATTGATAAATAATTTAAAGGATAAGAAATAATTAAGTTATTATTATAATTGAGATAAATGTATAGAGAATAAACATTAGAATTAATTAAGCATCTCTAAAATGAAGAAAAATTAAAATTCTTATTATTCAAACTAGATTTCAATGAATATTATTACTTATTATCATAAGAAAAGCTATTTTCTTTAGGGTTTGATAAGTATAGTTATATTATTAATATTACAGATTTTTATAATAATGTCTCCCAATATCAATTAAGGAAACTGGCAGTTAGAAAGTAATATCTGATTAACCTTAACCTTAATAATAAAAACCTTTGATCCCATAATTTAGCCAAAAGTCAATGACTTCTATATAACAAGACTATATTTAAATTAAAGAAGGAAGTATATATTAGTATTTATCTAATAGTTAGACTTTTAGAAGAATAAAAGAAATAAAAAGAATAATAATCAAAAATATTAAAATAGTCTTAATAAAAAGAGGAATAAATAAAACCTCTATCTAAACCTCCATTGCCATTCCCATAACAATAATAACCTATGCTTACAATGAGTCCAATTAATAAATAATCTACTACATCCTCTGTTTCATCTAGTAATATTTTCTAGCCTTAACCCTTGTAGAATTTTTAATAATAATTTGAACAATAGATTCAATAATAGTAATAGATCAATTAAAAACTTTAATAATTGTAATAATAATAATAATAAATGTAATAATATCAATAATTATAATTATAACCTCAAACAAAACAACCATAATTACCTAAATTTATAAGTTCATCATCACAAATGTATTAGGTTTAATAATCATATTAACCAAATTTTAATAATTCTGTACCTTTTTCCCAAAATTAGAGCTAATCTCAGATTAGTATTTTATAACCTAATAGAAATGATTTGTCATTGTCATAAGATGAAAATTTACAACAATTAATGGATAAACAATTTAATGTTGATGATGATAGTAGTGATGAAGATTTAATTTGAAAAATGTATAAATTAATTAATATAATTATAATATAAATTTTATATGAATACAATAGAAAAAGAAAATCATTGTAGAGTTTAAGGCTAAAGTGAATTTCAGAAATAAATGAATCTCAAATATATTTATTCAAGATATAAGCCAACAAATTAAACATCTCCAATAGCTGAAGAAAATAAACTCATCTAAAATTAATAATCTAATTAGGCTAATTCAGTTCAAACTATTCCTTAATTAAAACCTTAAACCTTAAAACCATAAGTATAAGTGATATCCTAACAACCAATACAAAATTAATAAATATAATAACAATAATAACAATAGTAACCATAATAACCATAATAACCATAATAACCACCTTAATAAAAGAGAATTAGAATTCTAGAAGTAAAGGACATGTATTGAATTTATTAAAATATATAATAATTTTTATTTATTAACTATCTCTTTTATAACCATTTATTTTGGCTAAAGATTTACTTTTTATTATACAATTCTTATTCTTTATAATGAAGATTTTCATAATATCAATATATTATAATCTAAATTATATAATTTCTATTAGAACAATTATTTATTATATAATAATAAGACTTTATTCAATATTCGAAATTTAGAATGATAATATAATAAATAATATAAAATATATAATTATTAATTTTTAATAAAGAGATTTTTATATTAGTTATTGAAAATATCTTGTTTATTTTATGTTGAATTCTTCAATCTTTACTAGAAAAAGATTTAAAAATCAATGATTTCGTTAAAGAGATTTTAAATTCTGTTTGTGTATTAGTTTCATAATATTTGATACTTATATTTTTTTATGTAATCAATTCTCTGAAATCAAATTAAAGATGAAACGCTACCCAATCTTGAATAAGTTTATTATCATTTTAATTAGAGTTTTGAGAATATTTTAGGATATGTCTAGTATGATGATTATTAGAGAATGATCTTAATGAATGAGAAATTATAAAGAGGTATGATAAAACAATAATTTATTTTTAATAAAATTGAAGTAGTCTTCTTTATTGAATTAGAAATTGATATATTAAAGCTTTGGGAGATAGAGTTTATTATGAATTGCTATTTTGATTCACTTTAATTAATTATAAAGATTCATCATAAATTATACCTTTATATTAAATTGTATTATTGATTCGTATGGTAAATTAATTATATCAATGATTCAAGTTGATGATAATCCTTAACATATAAATCTCAATCTTTTTCAGAAGATAAATACTGGAAAGTATGAGGATATTCAAATCAAAATATAAAAGCTCGAATCTACATTTTTCTAATGTTTAAACTATAGTAAACAAGAATAAATGTAATAAAATGAGAAACTACAAACTGATAATTCACAACTTCATGATAATGAACATAATATGAATAAGGACTTATTATAATTCGAACAATTTGAAAAATACATTACTTAATACTTTGTCCAACTTCGTGAATAATTTGGAAATATTAAATCGATCTGTTTCATGACTTCTTAATAGTTAAACCTATTTTTCGAAGAAGCTCTGGAATAATTGAATAATAAAACAAAGTTGTATTAGGATATTCTAAAACTTAAACTTATTTAAAGTTCACAAGGTATTTATTCATATATTTACATTATAAGACTTATTTTCAAAAGTATATCCAACCAAAACAAATTTAATACTTAAGAAATGGTATTTACATAATTATTGTTATCCATACCCAAATTAGATGGAAATCAAAAAATTAATCAATAAAACACAACTATCGAAGAAGAAAGTATTAAATTTTTTTTAATTAAGATATTAAATTGGTTTATAAATGCTCGCAATAGCTTTAAGAGAAAAAAACAAAAAAAATAAAAGTATAAAATATTAGTACAAGAACACTATAAGGCTTTATTCTAACCGAAAAAACAAAGCTAAAATTCATGTTAAGAAGAATCAAATTAACAAATTTTATTTTGAAATTCGTGACAAGTCATTAATATATATATATATATTATAATCAAAATATTAACAATATTAATTATTAAACATTTACAATTTGTTATTTTGTTTCAACTCGCTCTTCATATATCTTATTTATTAACTCTATAATAACATAATAATAATTGATCAATTAGTATCTAATAACTATAATAACAATATTAACCTACTAAAATATATATAAATATTTGAAAGGAAAATACAATAAATTTATTTAAATAGCTGATATTAAATAAATTGTAATTCATTTTAAATCAATAACTTTTATGCTAGATTTACGTAAACAAACAACAGGATAAAAGTCTTAACTAGCATCAAATTCCATAATCTATAATAATTTGAATAATTATTACCCATATTTAAGTATTTTATGTTTAATTTATCCATTAAATTTTTTTACTAGTTTTATCAACTATAATAATAATAATATCTTAATTATTGATCTTAAAATTTTAGGATTTATTATTCTCTTCTATTTTTAATTGAGAAAAAACCTTTCCAGATTAATCAATAAGATAACATCTAAATTATTTATAAATAAATTTTCTACCCATGCTTGTTATTATCCCAAATATCAAAATTACCTTTTTATTTAAGGAATTAATCTTTATGACAAATTCCTATTGCTAACCAATCATTTTTTATAATCTCAAAAGCAAAATTTTTTACAAATTAATTTTAAATAATTCCAGGCTCACATAAAACCCAACCAAATTTATCATCTGTAGTTGATACTATAGTTTCTTAATCCTTTAGAATTATGTTATCAGTCTTGTATTATTATGAAAATCGTATTTTTTCTTGAATTACTAAGGTATTCTTATTTTATTATTATCTATATAAACTTAGAATGATTTACATTTATAATTAAGAAGAATTGACAGATAAACAAATATTTTGAGATGGAGATATAAATTCATTCAATGTATATTCAAACTTTAATCTTTAGATATTATTTTTTGCATCTTCCATATTTTAAATTAGATTTTAAAAGGATTTAATTAGATATCCAGATTATTCTATGTAATTTAACTTTACTAATTTATCGGTTAATGAGTTTAATTGTGATATTGTTTAATTTTCAATATTTTTTTCATATGCTTCTATATTAAGACTTACAATAAAATTATCCAAAATAGATTTTAATCTATTAAAGTCATTGTAAAATTTTTTTAAATAACTAAAAGTTTTCTTTTTATCTTCCTAAAATACTGATAATTATTTTAAATCTAAAAATTTATTAGCATGTTGCAAATGTAATTATTTCAAACATTCAACACATGATGCTCTTTAAGATTAGCAATTTAATGCAGTACAAACCCCAATAATTTTTTATCCGCCATCATCACATTTACAACTCTAAATCATTATAATATATATAAGATTTATTATTTTATTTAATGATTATAATATAAAATAATATTCTATAACATTAAAATAATTAATATATCTATCATAATTACTAATATTAAATATTTAACTGAACATACATCATAAATTAATATCAATATTATCCTAGAATCATTGAAATAATTATTATAAAATTTAATATAAAATATTACTTAATCTAAATAGAATATTAATAAAGTAAATCAATGTTTCAATATTATTTAAATAATAATTTCCCTTTTCTCACTTCTAACTATTTATTTAACGATACTGATCTAACTTCTCTTGTTGTCTTAGGTACTTCAACTTTATAATTTGTCACAAGTTAATTTAAATTAACAATCTCATCATTATTTAAAATGGAATTTTTAGGATTTTAATCTAATAAGCTTTTAAGATGTGTATCTTCTTTTATAGATTAAAGAACTAAATTAACATGATTAGGAAATAGTTTCTAGTAGATAAAAACTAATAATTTTTCATTACTAACTACTAATTCTAAAATCTTGATTTTATCTTCTTTATAGAATTAAGAAAAATCTTGCATTGAATCTAAATAAGATTGATATTATTAAAAATTTGTCAAAGGTCTTTTTTTCTATATTTCTTTTCTAACAGTTTCTACACACTCTAAAAAAAAGTATTCCAAATCACTTCTAATTATACTTTTCTTGTTTTAAGATATTAGAAGTTTTTAAACTTTTTCATTTAGGATTCTATTTTAATTTTAATATTTTTATTCAATTATGGTTATATATCTAATAATATTCTTAAATACTTAGTTATTTTATCAAGAAAATCTTCATATTTTACAATATCTTTCTGCAATTCATCTGTTGGAAACATTTCTTTAATAGAAGAATAATGATGTTTAGATAAAGATGAACTCAATTCAACTTTAGACTAATAATCAGTTAATCTTCTTTTATGAGATTCTATTATATAACATAATTATACTATATTATTTAGCAGGAGTAGTAGTACAAAATGTTTAATCTAATTATATATTTGGTAACAATTCTTTATCAATTTCTGTCTATTTAACTTTTTTAATTAATGATTTGATTTATTATTCTAAAAATTCATTAGTTTTTTATAGTTCTCCCAATTTATATTTTAATTCATATATTTCTTTATTTTTTAATTCAACTTTTTAATATAATTTAAGACATTCTTCTCTAAAATAAACCTTATTATTTAAAATATTGATTACTAATTCATTATCACCACTAGTTACTTTTATTTTATTCTAATTTTAAATTCCTTATTGTTCTTCTATTTTATTTCGTAATTCCTTTAATTCTTCTTTGATTTTTTACATGTGATTATGATAAGCATTTATGAATTCAGCTTCATTCTTTAATTTAATCTTATTCATAATATCTGTTAATTCATTCATATATTGTATTAATGATTAGAATGCTTCTACAGCTTTAAATTGATAGGAATTTTCATTAGATTATTATCTTTCTTTATATAAATCCATTTACATATTTAATTAATAAAAAAAGTTGTTAAAATATATTAATGCGTAAAAGCCCACTTCTTAAGGAAAACCTCAGATTAAATAATGACTAAAAGCCAAAATATTTAAGCAAAAGCAAATAAAAAACTGTTTCCTTAGAAAAGAATTCAAATTCTAATAGATCATTACTTAATGAAATTTAAAACCAAACTCCTAATTAACTTAAAAAAATTATATCAACCTAACCTTCTGATTAAAAATTGCATAATTGTATATAAATTGATTATAATAAAGAAGGGTAAATTCTTAAATCATTAATGAAAATATAAAATAGAACAAATCCAATATTAACTAATTAGAATTGCTATGCAGGCGTTAAATTGAACTTTAATAATTACCTATGTAATATTATTAGTTAATAAAAATTAGCTAATGAAGAAAAAAGAATGAACACAAATTAATACAATTCGTTAAATCAAACTGTTTAGCCATCTCCTAAGGCCAAAACCATCTCATTATCTACTTATACAGTAATATTAATTTAGTTATTATTAGAGTACTTAAAGTCCTGAAGTTAGAGAGAAAGAGATGAGATAAGAAAAAATAACATCATTCAAATAATTAATATAATAGACTAAATAATGTTTAGAAAATATGAAAATATCAGATATTAAATAATCTATAGATAAGATATTTGATAATACAATTTAACCATTGCTTTAATTAAAAGTATTAAATAGTTTTATTAAAATTAGAATGAAGTCATAAAGTAAATTGAGAAATGTTTAAATGCTGAATAATATTAAATTAGATCAACTATAGATTCATTAAAAAAAATGGAAGATGATATATTATCTAATGAATTTAATATCATTGAATATATGACAATGGGACCATTTAATGAAATTATGCAAATTTATTAGAAGAGATTTTAAGAACATTCTATTTTCACTTAATAATTAACTTAATAAGAATTAGTTATACATTAGTTTTAAAAGTTGCATGATAATTTTACTTAACAAAATTAATTGTTATGTAAATAATTATCATAATCTTTTTAAACATATTTATCTTTATTTATTTCATTCTAAAATAAGGATGATTTTTATGAATTGAAAGATAATAATAATACTCATCTATATACTTAAAATAATAATTAATATACACAAGATACTTTATTTTAAACTTGTGAAACAAATAATTCAATTGATGAAGATTAAGTTATTATGAAAGATTAATAAATTATAAGAATACCAGATAAAACATCTTAATTTACTTAATTGTTAATGTAAAATAATTAAAAAAAAATGATTTTAGCTGAATCACCATAATTCAAAAATTGATTATATTTTTAGTTTAATGTATATAAAATAAACAGATATATATAAATTTCATTCAAAATCAAATTTTATTATATATTTCATGGTTTAGCAGTTAAAATTCTCATTATATCATTAAATAGATTAGGTTTTTAGGGAAACCATATATTGAGAAATCCATTCAAATCTATACTAATTTTATTTTCATCTTTTAATATCTTACTTTTCTTTTTCTTTTTTTCAGATTTATATTATATAATACTTTAAAAAGCATAATCTTACTCATTATTATTAATTTAAGTAATCAATATTACCTTCTTTTTTGTAGGAGTATTCTTAGGATGATTTTAACAATCCTAATCAATTTCCATATTTAGATCAAAAGAATTCCTTTAACTTACTTTACCAAAAAGTCTACCTCTACCATCATTTGATAATACAGATTATCTTCTTTATTATAAAATTACACTTTGATCTAATTTGACTCTCAAAACACTAAGTGGCAAAGTATAAGAATTCATTTGTTTAATATCATTATTTATTTGATTAGATATTTAAGCTTTTGTTTATTTTATCATGTGAAGGATATCTAATTCAATTGATGGATTACTATTATATTTTAATAGTTCAACTAAATTATTAGTAGTTATCTCTCCTTAATTGTTTATATCATAAATAAGAAAACATAGACGTATTTACTATTTTAAATCTAAATTTTCTATTTTCTATATCCATTATTAATATTAATTAAAGCTTAGAATTTGAGGTATTTTTAATACTTTTGCAATTTAATCACATATAATATCAGGGTAATGTCTTTGTAAATACTTAACTAATTATTATTTTTTTATCCTTATATTTCTAACCTATATTGTTCTACATCTTAATTTGATATCTGCTTCCATTTCAATTTTACTAATTTCCCCTAAAACATCAGCTAATTATTGAGGTACATCCTCTTAAGAAATTGATAAAATTCTCATTAATTTTTAAGGTGATTATGTATTTCTTCTTTCTTATCTTATCAAAATAGAGCTGGATAGTTTAGAACTACTCCTACCAGTGTATTCTTCACTAATTTTTTATTGTTAAATATTTTCAATTGTTTTTGTTTCTTTTCTTGATTATTTCTTACTTTAATCTTTACTTACAGATACACTTGTTATTTAACTTCTAATCTTTAACTTACTTATCAAAGGAGCTTTGAAGTATATATAAAAATATATTACTCAATAAATTGTGTTTATAAGCTTTCTTAACAAACTCATTTAATTCATTATTTAACATTTTAATACAATTACATTATTAATTCGTTCTAATAAATTTATTTCATTAACACAAACTTATAATACTAATCAAATATCACTATACAGAATAATATTATATAATTATATAATAATATTATACTTTATTTTTATATTCAATTGTTTTGTTTTTAAGTCTTAAAATGTATATTTAAATAAATTAAACATTTTTTTAACTTATATAATATATATTGATAAATATTAATATATAACAAATATAAAGATAAAGAGTATTAATCATAAACAAAATCATTAGATAAAGATTTATTAATTAGAAGGATCATTTTGATTATTATTATTAAAAAATAAAGATCTCTTTTTAATCTCTTTTGATTTCTTAATTTTTACTGATGATGAGGAACTCTCTATATGTGTTAGTTTATGTGATTTTTATGCTTAATCATTTTTTTTCATTTTCTTTTATATCACTCTCTTAGTAATTGATTTTTTATTTTTCAAATTACTTTTAGGTGTTAAAGTATCTTCATTATTATCTTGTTTGTTTTTAATTAAATTAATAAATTCAATAGGAATATTTTTTATTAATTTTCGTTTTTCCTTCACAAGCATCTCAAAATATGATGATTAATAAATATCTTCCAAATTTCCATTCAATTCTAAATATTGTCTCTTTAATTTATAAATAGTATCATTTCTAGAACATCTAATACAAGAACATAATCCCTATATTAATTATAAATAATATTTACTTTGCATAATGGACATATCCACATAAATTAAGTAGTTTCATATGAATCAAATTCATGTTTTAAACATTTTAAACAAAAATATCTTTTACATTGGATCTATTAATCTATAATATATCAAAATTTAAAGTACTTTCAATTATGTAATTTGTAGAATAAAGATCTAAAAAATATTATTATTAAGATTTGGCATTAATTTAATATCTTTAACAAATTAATAAATCTTCATTGTATTCATGTAATCCCATCTAATAATGATTATATGAACACTATTTCAGATTTTTAATATCAACCATTAATTTACAAAAATGACACATTTACATTTCAAATACATCCTAAATAAATTCAATTTATTTACATCTGATCTAAGTCCAGGTAATTAATCAGGAAATTCATATGGTACTTCTCTTAATTTTTGAAGATTTGCAAAGTGTTCTAAATTGAGATCGATTTATGTTTAACTCAAATATTTATCAAAAATCACTGTTATGGTATTACCTTAATATAATAAGTTTGATTGAATTTACTTGATTCATTAAATGTTGCTTTTCCAATACTTTCAGCAACTTGATAATCTTCATGTAATATAATTAAGTCCTTCAATACAGAAAGTTCTTATTTATGATTTTTTATTCTAGTTCTAGTTAATTTAATAGAATGTTCTTAAAGGATTTAGGATGTATAAGTGTAGAGGAGAGAATGATTGATTTCATTGACATGTTATTCAAGCCTATGATATTAAGAAGGGAATTGTACTATTGAATGGAATTTGAATTATCAAGTTGTTCTAGTTACTATTCAAGTTATTATATATGTTAGGATAATTCATCTTGACAATCGATCATTTAATGTAAATTAGTCAGGATTTAATTTTCTTAATGATAAATTATTTATTGTTGTTATTCTGATAATTAGGACATATTTTTAATAAGATCTTAAGTTTATTATAGTCCTTCAATAAGTTAAGTAAAACATATTTGGTCTATCATTTCATCAATTAAATTTTAAATAGGTTCTGAATGTTATTATCTTTCTTGAAAGAGTAATGAAATTCTTTATTTTAAATTGATAATGTTGAATTAAGATAATTTAGATCTGTTATTCTATCTAAGAAGTTTATCTAATAATTTATGACAATTTAAGTTTACATAATTAGAAACTATTTTATGAATAAAATGATTACATTTCTTTTTGAAGAGTCTAATATCAGATATGTTGATAGGAGACAGAACCATGAAAAATTACTCATTGATTTCTCTCCAAAAATTAGATGTGAACATTGATTCTCTATTTCTATCCATTTTACAATATAAATATTAATTTAGAATGAATTATTAATCTATATATTACAAATAGAAATCATAGTAATGTAAATTAATATTAAAATCAATTTTGATTAATAGCCAATTATCTTTTATTTTCTAATTCTCTCTCCTTTTCCTTTTCTGCATCTATGACTTTCTAATCTCTCCAATCATATCCAACTTCCTTAAGAATCAAACCCAAAACTATTCCAATAACATTCAATGCAAAACAAATCCAAAATACTCCTTCCCATTTAATTTTCTTTCTAGCAAAAGCATATAATAAATATCCAATCATATTTGATACTCCAACAAAGAAGAACATGAATCCATACATTAAACCTCCTATCTTCTTTCCATATATCTTAGCACAAATAACTGGATAAGTAGCTAACAATCCTCCTTCAGCAAGGTACACTACAGCAATCAACAAAAGATAACCAATGCCATCTTTATTATATGGTAAAATGGCAGTTGTAATAAGATTGAGTATTGAAATAATAGTAAATGTGAATTTATATGATGTCTTATCTGTTAAAGTAGCCCAAAAGAATCTAGATGATCCATTCATTACACCAGCAACAGAACCAGTTGCTGTTAATGTAGCATCATCTATTCCCAATTCTAAACCATAGTATTTGTAACAATTTGATATCAACATACCAAAAGTACATGACATCAAAACAATTAATTAGAGAATTATAAAAGATGGATGTTTCATGCCTCGACCACTAAAAAATTAAATTATTATATCTTACATTTCTACACATTCTTTATGAGCTGGTAATACTGGAGGTGCAGGTGCAGGAGCACCTTCCTTTCTCTTCTTTAATTCTTCAGCATCTAATGTAGCCAACATTTTATCAGGATCTATTTCAGATGGATACCTGATCATTATTGTAGCTATAATGCCCAATCCAAGATAACTTGCAGCAAGGACTTGTAACATTAATGGTACTTTATCTCCTACTTCACTATCGAAGTATTTCACATCTTTTCCATCTTCAACTTCCACTACTGTAGGCTTTAGATTGTTGGGATTTGCTATTGCTTTGCATACAAAATTGAAGATAAATGAACCAAATCCATATCCACCAATTGTCATCCCTGATACTAATCCTCTTCTATTAGGAAAGTATCTCCATCCACAAATTATTGGAAGCATATATAATAAACCTCCAGATATCCCAACCATTATACAATAGACTGCTATAAACCCTCCTATTTCTTAGATAAAAGAGATTATTAAGAAAGCAAGTGCAATAGTGAATGATCCTATTCCTATTGTAACTTTAAATCCAATTCTTTCAGCTATTTTTATTCCAAATGAAAGGACTGACATTGTTATTACTCCAAGGATTGGAAAGATGATAGCCATGAAATTTAATGTTACTCCCTTATCTTTTTCTCTCATCCAAGCACAAACATATGGACCTAAAAATATTATTTTTAATTTATTACTTATTGATCCCCAAACATAGAAAGTTCCCAATTCCAAATGTAAAATTACACCTCCTATTAATGAGATTATTCCTCTCTTAGTAAAGTTTTTCATTTCTTCATCAGTATATATTTCTTTGTTCTAATTTATTTAAAGATCAGTCTTCATAGGACTACTTGATTCACTCATTTTGGGAAGTAATTTATTTTGTTCGCTTCCTCCATGCTCTGTTGCTAATACAGCACCATTAGTTTAAACATTTGTCTATGCATCTCTTTGTTCCATTATTTTTATAATATTTTTTTGAATAAATTATATCTTATTGTTAATTATTATAAAACCTCATAAACTACAATATCATAATGTAATATTATAGTGTGTCATAATAATATGATGCACTTTTAATTAAATTTATTATAAAATTCAATATTATTTTTATAAATTTATTAATTATTTATAATAATCGAAATATGTATATTCTTGACTTAAAATTATGTCATTAATTAGTCAGAGCAACAAATTTATTAGAAAACCATAATATTTAAATTATTAGATTATTTTCTAATATGAATAATTAAAATTGTTGAAATTCCTACTAAAAATGCATCCTACTATCTATAAATCCTTTATTTTTTTATAAAAAATGAAATCTATAAAGAAATTATATTGAAATCTGATAGAGAATTATAGAAAATTAAGTATAATAATAATAATAATTATTATTATTACTAGTATTAATATTAATATTATTATTATTATATTAAATAATGCAAAATTAAAACTAGACAATTTAAGAGAAAATATAGATGGCTTAAAAGTATAAAGAAGAAGGAAATATACATTTTAAAAACTAGGATTGGAAAAAAGCATTGACATGTTATCACAAAGTATTTTTATATATTAATGGATTAATAAGCAAAGAAGATGAATTGGCACAATATTCTTAGGTATCATAATATAATTTAAATTTAGAATTAATTAATAAATTAGGAAGAGAGTAATATTATCCAATAATTAAAATGCTAAACATATGGAAATATGGCTTAAGTCTATATAAAATAAGAGAAATACGAAAAAGGAATGGAAGCAGCTTAGAATAGTTTAAAAATATGCAATAATATTAAAGTTTTGTTTAGATTAGCTATATGCAATATTGAATTAAATAATCTAGAACAAGCTAGAGAATAATTGTTAGAAGTTCAAAAACAGGATAATCAAATAGATATCAGTTCTTAATTGAAATAAATTTAAATTAAAGAAGCCAAATAAGATAGAGTGATGGCTTAAGCTATGAAAAAACTGTTCGTTTGATATTTATTATAGTTAATAAAAATAGAAAATTCAATCAATTTAATAAACAAATAGTTTTAAAATCTTGCTATTTTACATATTATTTATGCATCTTTATTAAATGGATATATAATATAATAAGAATAAATTAATAATCATATAAATATTAATATCATATGCAACTCTTAAAAGTTTGCAAAAGATTCTGTTCGATCTTATAAAATGTACCAAAAGATCTTGTAGATTTAAAACATGTTAATTTTTTAAAGGTTAAGACAGCTTATCTTGAATAATTAAAGGATTAATATATTTTAAGTTTAGAGTTTACAAAAAGTCCCAATGAAACAGATGATGCAATGAATATAACAAATAATGTAGAACTGTAAATAGATCCAGAATTAACAGTTAAGGAGTTTGTTGAGAATTGTCAGGAATATGTATAAGCTCACATTTTTATTTAGTTAAAAGATAATGTTACTTTATATTCAATTGACAAAGTGCCATTAGCTGGTGTTAATACAATGGAATAAGTAATAAAAGAACCTTTCTATTTATTGACAAATAATCAACATTTATTTTTTGTTAAATAATTATCAGGGTATGATAAGGACGATTATTCATATATGTAAATAAATTAATTAATTAATTTAAGTAAATCATATTTTACTCGTAAACATGTACCTATGTTAGAAAAGAATATTCTTATCTAATACTTGGTTAGAATGGATTATGTTTTATAATAAAATTTCAAGACAACTTTTTTTAAAAACTATTCTTCATCTCAATAGAAGATAGAATATAATGATTTGGTAAAAGTAATTCTTGATTCTTATACTAATATGAGAAACACTTAATCAGATCATGAAACTGATATGTATACTTAATATTTTGAATTAAAAAAAACTAAAGAATAATTAGAAGAGAAAAAGAAGGAGATTATGGATGCAGCAGTTAAATTTGCTAAGATTTAAATGTTTGGTGGATTTTTAGTATTATGTGGTCATTTTTGTTTTATGGGAGCTGGTATATATGTATATTATAATTGGGATGTAATGGAACCTATAGGTTATTTTTTGAATACAGGTGGAATGATATATTTATCTTATTAATATTTCAAGTAAATTATTAAATTATCATAGATTAAATGATGAATGGTCACATAGTAAATTCTCAGATTATTTAATCAATAAAAATTTTATTAGATTGAGTCGATCTAATAATTTTGATATTGAGAAATTGAATTAAATTAATAAACAAATTTAAGAAATATAGGATAGAATCAAAACAAATATCATTACAAATTTATGATCATATATCCAAAAAATAAATAATTAATATCACGACTCTACTAAATCTTTTAATGTATAATGTTTAACAATTTAATTCGATTATTGATCTTGTTATTATCTTTTATTAGAGTATTATAAAATAAGAGCACTTTTGATACGAATATTTTCTTTGGTTTTATTAGGCTGATTATTTAAGATATTATTAACATTATTAATTACAGTATTTTAACCACCATTACTATTTGGGCATTTAATATAAGGTTCTTATTGTATAGGTTAATCTTAATGCATAGATGGCTAATTTGAATTTGGATTCAAATCTAAAATAGTGAATTTTTTGACATCTTTGACTGATTAATTTTATTATACAGGAATCAATTTAGCTCTGCAAGAGATATTTGCAAATGAAGATCCTCTTGCTTAAGCTGATAAAGGTCTAATTTATACATTCTATTTATAATTATTTTATGGTTTAGAGTGTTTAATTTCAAGTTTAAATTTAGGTGCTTATTCTAATGAAAATGAATTCTTTCTTTCTTCTTAAAATTATTTATCATCTATATCTTGAATGTATAATTCAACATGATTAGATTAAATCTTTAAAACTTATTATTAAACATGTTTTTATTCTTATTATTCTAATTATTTTAATCTTTCTTATTCCTATTATTCTTTTTATTATCTTTCCTTTTCTAATTTCTATATTCTCTCTTTTTCAAGTTTTTCTTACCTTTCCAATCTTTCCAATCTCTCTTATTTCTCCTTCTCCAATCTTTCTTATCTCTCTCTATCCATTCTTTCTTGTCTCTCTCTGTCTATCCTTTCTTTTTCAATTCGTTCCTTTTCTAATTTCTCCTATTGATCTTTCAACAACTACTAATATTATAATGCTCTCGATATTTGCTCATTTTCTACTTGCTTTTAGGTCATATCTATAATATCTCCCATATAGATTGTATCAGATCCATTACTAATTA